ACACAACTGCCTTTAACTTGTAGTTATCCTTTGGCCTTACCACCTAGAAAGGGATTCTTTTTTTCTTTCCATATTGTTAACTCTCACGGTCTAACACTCTTACCCTCTGGCAATATGAATAGCCATTCTGTCTTTTCTGAATATTGAAAACCTAGAACATGTAATGCTGGGGGCTGTTATCTCTCTTGTATTCAAAAACAAAAACAAAAAACAAAAAACAAAAAAACAAAAAAAAAAACACCCTTCTGTATGAATTACCCTACCCAGACTATATAATTAGCACCTTCTTATATATCACCTTATCTTCAATTTTTTACCCATACAATTCAAAACTTTATTATACAATGTTGTGTTCAGATGTTTCTAAATTAAATTATAAGCTATTGTGTAGAAAACTTTTCTTACACTTCTACATTTATTCATTCACTTCAGGAATTATGCCATTCGTTCATTCATCACATAATTCACTCATTTGAATAATACATATCTATGAAACATGAATGAGACACTATTGATGATGTCATTGGGTTCACTGCATCTAGTACGGGGCTATTATACATCATCTATGACATGGAAAGCTTGTTGCTATAAAACAGCAACAACAACAAAAAAGTAACTGCAAAAAGATGTTTCCCAGTGTTCTGATATGATGATCAAAGTTTTTCTGCCTCAGTTTAACATAATCTTATGTCTAGTTGAGATCTTACTTTGTGTGTGAACCAAATGGTATAGTGGGGGAGAGGAAGTCCCTGAAAAACTGCAACTTCTCACTGTAACACATGAGGCAATGTCACCTGCTAAGAAAGGAGGTCAGTATTTACGAAAAAGTGAATAAGCCTATGAAGAAAGTGAGAGACTGCCTCCTAGAATCACTTTGAGCATCTCACTCAGATTTGGGGACCAAAACTATGCAGTAACAACCTGTGATTTCCTCCAGCAATATTCAGTACCTAGGTGTAGGGCAGAAAAGGTCCATTTTGCCTTTTAGACAAGGTCAGGACTTGGGAGGCTGATACCACTCGAGGAAAATAAGGCCCAGGCAAGAGAATAGTTGGAGAGATGTTTCTAGCCAAGGAAGAGGGGGAAGCAATGAAGGAACACAAGCTTGAGGAACCAGGGAACTCAACAGGGCATGGTAGGTGAAAGTTGGATGACTAAGAAGCTGCAGTCAGAGACAGAGTTTAAAATTTTTTTTTAATGTTTATTTATTTTTGAAAGAGATAGAGAGTGAGCAGGGAAGGGGCAGAGAGAGAGAGAGAGGGAGACACAGAATCTGAAGCAGGCTCAGAGCTGTCAGCACAGAACCTGACACAAGGCTAGGACTCAGAAACCGTGAGATTATGACCTGAGCTGAAGCCAGATGCTTAACTGACTGAGCCACCCAGGCGCCCCTAGCGACAATGTTTATATTGGAGTTTCCAACTTCAGGAATGATTAGTGAGGATGAGTTTGTGGATGGGTTGCTGACGTAGAATGGAAGTTAAGCTTTGTTCAGTTAAGGAGGTCAAGTTGAACCTTGAGAGACTGCTCACCAGAATGTTAATGTTATCTGTGATTATAGCAGGGGTTCTAGAAGTCATGACTCCTATGAGTTGGTGCCAAAATCTTCAATAAATGAAGGCTTATGGGATGGGAAGAGTGGTAGAACTACATGGTACAAAACTCAAAGAAGAGTCATCAGAAAAATGCAAAAGGGAATTCTGCCTGCTAGTGAAGTCTCATTGGTTTATAGTTTTTTTCATTCTATGAAGCTGCTTTCCTTACTTATTTAACAAATCAGAAAACACGAATGTGGTTGATATGTATTTGAAAAGTATACAAATTCAGGTGCAAATACTTGGAAAGGACCTACAGTTTTATTCTGTGATTTTTTTTTTTAATTGAGAGACAATTTACCAGTCATGATGCATTTCCTATCTCATTTAAAAATCACAAAAAACTAGGGGCGCCTGGGTGGCTTAGTCGGTTGAGGGTCCAACTCTTGATTTCAGCTCAGGTCATGATCCCAGGGTCATGGGATCAAGTCCTGCATCATGCTTTACACTGAGCTTGGAGCTGCTTGGGATTCTCTCTCTCCCTCTGTCCCTCTCCCCAACTCATGCTCTCTCGCTAAAATAAATAATAATAATAATAATAATAATAATAATAATAATAATAAATAATCACACAAACTAACATTTTATTAATGCATTATACCTGATCAAAATCATATTCTGTTTTATCTACGATACAGGTAGCATTTAAGTATTCTACTGGGAAACCTGTTTACAATGATTAAGCCCAAAATTAAATTTTTAAATGATTAGACATGAGGATGTTCTCTTTCTGTACACTTCTCACCCAACTTAGGATATAAAGTACAAACCTTATTGCCACATAGCAAAGCTCCTTGAGAATCAGTCTTATTTCAAATCTGAGAAAATATCATACTAAGTTTTTTAAACTTAAATTGAAATGATAGTATGGGAACTCAAAGTGATAATATTAAATGCTAGGCATAAATCTTTATCTCTTCATCAAATAAATGAGGAAGTACAATCTATTGGTTAGAGCCTCATTGTAAGTAATCTCTATTTTGTAAGAGAGACCATGAGAGGGTTATCACCCCCATCATTTATGCTCTTTTAAGTTCTCAAGAATATTGCTTGACTTGTCTAAATAATAATCAGGTTACAATTGAGAACTGTTTGTTCTCACCTAAACAATGACCAGGAATGATCAAGGCATATAGCTACAATTCCAAGTGCATAAGACAGAAGAGGGAGGCAGTGAACCTCTTGATATGTTCACTTGATATGAAGTCAGGCATTTTGGTTGGGGATGAGCAGGTTTAGAAAGGAATGGGAGCAGGCAGGAGAAAGTGTTGCAAGTTGGTAGAGTTGGAATGGTGACCTGGTTCCAATTAGTTCTCAAAATTTCTATAAGCCTATCCTGATGGGAACTTGAGCTTGTTAGGCCCTTAACTATACAAGAACACTTAGAAGAAACCTGGCCAGCCAAATCTTCCCAAGTAATAACCTTGTACTCCTATGCCTCAGCCATATCCTCACCTCCATATTTGTTCCTCTAGAGAAACTCCACCTCATCCATCACATAGCAACGAAATCATTGTGAGTAACTCGTGAATTATGTCCTATGCATACAAGATTAAAAATCTCTATTAGGCCTTACCCTCACCAACATGAAATGGGGTGATGTTGGTGAAGTGTCCCCTGGTATCTTTACTGTTTTTGAGAAGGCTAAGGTTCACCTGAAGGTGAAGCCACAAAAGCCCTCATCTTTGTACCTTGTGTTGATCCCTCATGTGTGCAATGGGAATTTTCATGCGCAAGGAGAAACATGAGAACTCTCTCAAGATTGTAAGCAATGCCATCTGAACCCTAATTGTATGGCTCTCCTGGCCAACATCATCCATAAAAATTTCAAATCATGGAGGAACTCATAATCACAGTCTATGCCATCAATGCCACGAAGACACTGTGGGTGTCCCCTGTGGTGAACCATGATGTCATGGTGCTTCCCAGAGTATCATCCCCGTAACCAGGGGCACTTCCAAGAGTATGGCATGGATCCGACCTGCCATCTGAAGAAAGCTTCTAAGTTCAACGTCAAGAATGTGGTAGAGCAGGAGTTGGGGGGCCCTCTGAAGAAAGTCCTGAGCAATAATGAAGACTAGATTGTCTCCCATGATTAACAGAGTCACCCACTCCTCCACCTTGACGCAGGGCATTGCCCTCAATGACCACTTTGGTAAGCTTATTTTTAGGTATGAATTTGACTACAGCAACGAGGTGGTAGACCACTCATGGTCCATTAGGTTCCACAGAGTAAGAATCCCCTGGGCAACAAGCCAAATAGTCCTGAGGGAGAGAGCGACTCTCAGCTGCTGGGAAGTCCTTGACTCACATCCAATCCCCAATCCACTGAGAAACTCCCAACCCTTCACAGTTCCCATTCCAAGCCCCTGAAGAACCCTGCCATATATATATATACCTTGTCACATATGATCAGCACAATCAATATTATACACTGTGCCCAGAGAAGGAAAATCTACCAGTTCCCCATTAAGAATCACACCTAAGCTTTTTAGTATGGCATTTTGCTTCCTTATTAAGCTCTCAGATTACTTTTCTCTGCTCCACTCTAACCATTCATACAACCCAATATCCTATACGTCAGCCATACTGGCCTTTTTGCTGCATTTTTATTAACTCTGTTTTAGTGAATACTGTTTCCTTTTCTTGAATGTTCTTTCTGTGATCCTGGTCTACCTGACAAATGATAGATAATCTTGAGGTAATTAGTGTAACAGTGTCAAAGAAAAGTCAGAAGGGGCTATGGGAGAAAGGTCTCAATAATACAGAGTTAGCAGCATGTTATTACTTATTGATGGAGCAAATCAGTGATGATCTTGGTTGTGAAATAGGTACACATATGATGCTACTGAAGAGGCATGACCCAAATGTCACCTCTTCTCCATTGCTTTCCCTAGCCTCACTACCCACCTCCCGAGAAAAGGTCTTCGGCTAGAATTATTTTCCCTCTATTTTAATGAGAAAAGCATTTATGAGTTCCTTCATTTCTAAGCTTCTAATGAAGAAAATAAAGTTTCTTCATTTCTAAGTAAACCTTAGTAAATCCCACTCCTGGGGCATCTGGGTGGCTCAGTCAGTTAAGTGTCCAACTCTTGATATCGGTTCAGGGCATGATTTCATGGTTGTGAGATCAAGTCCCACATCAGGCTCTGCACTGAGAATGGAGCCTCTAGGGATTCTCTTTCACCTTCTCTCTCTCTGCCCCTCCCCTCCCCTGCTCATGCCCATGACCATGCTCTCTCTCACTTTCTCAAAATAAACATTAAAAAAAAAATAATAAAAATCCCATTCCTTCCAGACTGTTCTCTGAGTCCTTCTTGCAACATTATATCTATCCTTTCCCTTTTTATTGGAGTCTTCCAGTCTATCCACAAATATGCACAGATGCCTGTACCCTAAATCACTTAACTTTAGTGCCCTTCCAGCTAATATCATATTTCTAACCTTCCACACCCAGCAATTCCAGTGGACAATATATTATTATTGCCTCCATTTTGTTATAAGGCATCTACTGCCCCTTTTAACTTCTTTCTTCATCTTCTTCACTATTACCTCAGGTTATCTGATGACAACAACAAAAAATCCAGATACCAAATGCAGTGCCTTATTTTCAGTTTCCATTGAACATAGGTGATCTATCCTAGTTCCTGAAATGATCTCCTCCTAGTCTTTTGGGACATAACTCCATTGCTTTCCTCCTATCCTTCTAAGCATACCTTTTCAGACTCTGTTCACAGGCGTTCCTCCCTTCCTTCCTCCTTCATCCTAGATATGTCATTGATTCTCTTCTCTTTCATTAGATATTTCACTTTCACAACTTCAACCACCATTCCTGCATGGACTAGTCCTATATATAAGCCTTGACCTCTCTAACACATTCTGGCTCTGATTTCTGTCTGCATATGGGATGTGACCCCCTACAGATACCACCAACACCTGAAACAATATCCTTGCAACTAATTTTCATTACCTCTTCTTTTCCAAACATACCTTTATGTCTATCTCTTACATTTCCCTTCCAGCAGAACCACATTAAAACCATAAATGGGAGATAAAATGTCTCTTTTACTTTTAAAGGCTTTGAGAAATTATAATATCCTAAAACTTCTTTGGCAAACAAACTTTATAAACCAGGCTACAGAGAACTAAAGAGGAAATGATGTTTTTACACCTCAAGGTAGATACAGTTCTGCAATTTAAGATAAAAAATGTCTCATTTTACAAAGAAAATCACTTCTAGGGAAGCACATAAAGAGAGTTAGATGGATTCCTAAAAGACTAGAGAGGCTCAGGAGTACTTACCTTAGAGGAATCATTTATTTAAGATATAAGGCAAAAAGAGATCTTAGAAAAAATAAGATGCTATATGAATGCAAAGATTGGTTCTATTGAAATTATGTTAATTTAATTCATTTACTCCATGGGGATTATGCCACTAAAGAGTTCAAAAGATTTAGTCATCTTCCTCTGTTACAGAGTTATTTTAAATCCTTATGTTTTCAGCTGTCTACCTTTTGGTCTAGTGGCCTTTTGTACAAAATATTCCCATTAGAAGAAATATTTCTGACTAACCCTTTAAAATATGAACAAAACAGCATCTATTCTGAATTGCTAGCTGCTCTCTGAATAATAAATCTTCCTACAGTTAAACACGGATAATTAAGGTCTGTTTTAGAGACTTGATTTCAGAGAAAGGAGGCTCAGTAATTAAAGTGAAAATGAAAAAAATGAAAATGGAAACTGATCAGGAGTGAATTTCCATTTCCATTTAACAGAATCTCTCAGGTACTAAGTTTTATTAAAATTACCCAGGAGGCTACTCAAGCTATTTGCTTTCCAAATAACCTCTGATTTTGAATAAAAAAAATGTAAGCTATGTTATTTTGGTTCTATAACAGAACTAGGAATGAAACGCAATTGAAAATTCAGGTTGCAGTGGAGGTTGAAAAAGATGAAAAAAAAAAAGAGCAAAGATGTGTTGATCAGGAGTACCTGGCGAAGCCCCTCTGCTCCCTCCCCACAATAGCCTCTTCCAGGGAGAACCCCAGCCAGGAAAGGTCACTGCACAGTTTTAAAGCTGCTGTTCCTTAAAGCCTATCTACCTCTTAACCTCCATGGCTGGCAAGGGACTGCTGACCACCCAGGGGCTGCTGCAGTCCTCCAGGATGGCCTCTTCCAGTTGAGGGTTGCAGACAGAACTAGCTTCAAAGATGCCCTGTATCTACTCGCGTGGTGTGACAGTCAAGTATGTTCAACGTCATGGTGGCTGTTAGTTCAGCCCAACAACAGATGAGAAGCACTGAATGCTGCAGGTCTGGGAGAGAATCCCAAAACACATGAACCATCCTCTCTAAGAAAGTCTCAAAATCTCATGGAAACAAACAGGAGAGGACCAAAAGATGAAAGAAAATCTCACTTCTTTTTTCTAGGTTAATAATGTTTACATTTCCAATTACAATTCAAAACATTCACACTAAACTAAAGTGATTAATTTATCTTATTTGTCGCCTTCATAATATTTAAGTTCTACTTGAAATGAATGGAAAACAGCTTCACAAAAATAAACAAAAACCAAAAATACTAACTGCCCAGTATTAGTTTAAGGAGCTTCATTTTTCATATAACCTTTATTCCCCAAATTCTATTTAATGAAGAAACTAAAGTATTATGCCAATTCTCGTGGGTTTCAGACACTATGAAAAATCTGGAGATAATCAGAAAGGCCTATTATTAAGGGTCATGCATGGGAAAATTGGAGGGTGGGGGTCTCGTGCACTCCAGAGTGGTACCAACCAGCATTTTACTTCATGTTTGTGTAAGTGTTCAATCTGCTTGGTGATCATGCACACTCTATGATAACCACTATCTTTGTATTAATCATTTTGTCCAGATAGCTTTGAGGGTTATAAAGAAGTATCTTTCCAAATGATTTTTGTGTAACAGAAGGACTGTGCCCAAAACATTGGATCATTTATTTTTGTTCCATTATTTCCCCCATATATGCCAAACTCAATTGGATTAACATACTTGAAACTTTGCATAATAGTAATTCATTTTTTAAAATATCTTAGCATTGCACATTACAGAATAGAATAGTATGACAACTAGAAGGCACAATTCCTGATGTGAAGAAAGTTTTACTTGGATAGGCAACCAGTCTTGAACAAAGGAAACAATTAGGAGATAATTTCACAATTATGAATTATGTAAGTCTTAACATAAGCAAGTATATTATGACTTAATATGAACATTTAAGGTCACTGTCAGATTTTCTTGGATTTACTTCTAATTCTTTATATGTTTTTCTTTTTTAAATGGCATGTTTTATTTAACCATATGTCTTAAAATTTATTTTTTATAGAATATGTATCTAGTACACTTGTTGATGTCCCTTATTAATTTTTCCCATTATCTTTATAAAGCTTTATTGAAACCTGTATGTCAAGGTGACAATAATACAGTGTTTGGAAAATAGTAACAAAAAAAGGGTATCCCAGAGTCAGGTTTACCAAATACATACTGGAAACCAGGGAGCATCTTCCTCCATTTCCCAGCAGGAAGAGAGGGCATAACAATAGCTTCGGCTGACTTATATGCCGTTATTTTCTCTTTTTTAAATCATTATCTATGAGTAATTACAACTTTATTCATATATCTTTAATATGTTTTTTCTTATTTTTCAACTGGGACCTCCAATTCAATGTTGAAATGATATAGCAGGCATCCTCGTGTCATGCCAATTTTAAAGGAGATGATGTTTCTAATGATGTACCAGTAAGGATGATATTTGCTGTTTTTGGTAAATACATTTTAGGTGTTTTTCATTTACTGTGATAACTTTTAATAAAAACATTTACAAACAGCTTAAAACTGTCATGAAACAATTTATATTTACCCATATGTTAATTTGCTCATCATTCCTTCTTGTGTTGCACACACATCTTCCTTTTTTCTTCTTCCTCAAGTGAGTCCTTTAGAAGCTCCTTTGAAGGTGCCTACTGGTAATACACTCTCAATATTTCTTAGCTGAAAATGTCTTTATTTTGCCCTTATGCTTGCCTGAAGTTTTAACTAGGTATGTGTTACCGTATTGACAGTTCTTTTCTTTCAGCATTTTGAAAATATTATCCATTTAGGGCCTCTCTCCATTGTTGATGTTGAAAAGTCAGCCCTCGCATTACTACTGCCGCCCAAAAGTATGGTCTACGGAGCTTGTCAGATGTGTGGATCTCAGATCCCATCCTAGACCAATTGAATCAGAACTCTGAAATGGTGGAGACACTTCTCCATGCTTACTTACTAACTTTACAGGTGATTCAGGGGCTCATTAGAGGTTGAGAACCTAAGAGTAATTTGTGTATAGGCAACTTGATCTCTTCCTACTTTTAAGATCTTCAAGACATTATGATATATCTAGACGTAGATTTATTTTATTTATTATGCCTGGGAATTTTTACTTCTTGCATCTAAAGATTCACATCTTTCAATAATTCTGGGAAATCATCAGCCATTATCTCACCAAATATTTTCTCCTTCTGTAACTCCAATAATGTGTGTTTTAAACATTTTCATTTTTACTTTCCTATAGTTTTTAATGTAGATCTCTACATATTAATATCTCTAATGTTTTCATAGGAAAACAATTTCTGAATAGGGGTATCTGTAAATGACTACATCTGCAGAAATTTAATTCAACAACTTACACAACGGATGCTGAGTGACCCACACACACACTTCTAATCTCCGAGTTGGGAAATAACTTTCCACTAAAATAGTATAGCATTTTACAATTACTGCAGTACCTTAAAGCTTAATCAAAACAGCACCACCAAAACCTACACTGTAAAATGGAACGACTGAGACCCTTCTATTGTTTGTTTATGAAGTAAAATCTCTCAGAAAACATTCAAGACAAGTTGATACTTCATTTTCATATCACAGTGTGTTCTTTTACAAAAAGGTACCCACGTATCATATCTTTGTCAAAAAGGAGTAACTTATTTTTTTTTTTTAAGTAGGCTTCACATCCAGTGTGGAGCCCAATGCAGGGTTTGAACTCATGACCCAGAGAGACCAACACTTGAGCTGAGATCAAGAGCCAGATGCCCAACTGACTACACCACCCAGGCACCCTTGCAGTAAATTATTTTTAAAATACTTCTCAGTGAAGAAAACAGCCAAGCTAAGAAAAAAAAAAAAATCCAAGATATTTTCCTGTGACTTTAAAATTCATTTCATTAATAGTTGTATTCATAGACTCCACAGAAAATCTGTTTCCTGATATTTCAGGGACCTTTCATCAAATTTGGTGATTCAATGACTTTCACAGAAAAGAATGTCAGCAGTTTTAGAATGCCAGAACAATAGCTTCATCTGAACCTCTCAGTGCTTCCCCTCCACTCGAAAACATGAGGACAAAGAGCTTGAGCAGAAATAAAACCAGGCATAGAACCTAATGGGGGAGGGGGCATATTCTTCTTTAACATGCTGATGGATAAATAGGAAATTTAAAACTTGATTTGTTTTAAAAGCTAATGCTTTCGAGACTAATTATCTGTAATGACAATATGTCTGTGTGCTATGTAAATAAGAACCTACAATGAGACACATCTGTCATAATGAAATGTGACACAGGAGAGATTAGACTAAAGCTTTCCTTACAGTGAGCTTTTAGACAAACTTTTTCTCTGATTAATAAAATGTCCCATTGTTTGAGACACTTGCAGTAAGATGTGGATGGAAATAGGATTGGATTATTATAGGAATTTTTGTGGATGAGTTATGCAGATTTGATCTGATTAGTTCATTTGTGCTCAGCAGAGGCAATGATTGCTCCCTCTCAGTCAGCCATTGCTATGTTCTTCAGAAAGGCACAGGATCCTCTGGGAGCTGAAGTCTGGTACCTGACATTAATGTATGGGCTTGTTTACATCAAGAAGCTCATTCAGAAGAAATTCTTTTCTCTCTCTCTCTCTCTCTCTCTCTCTCTCTCTCTCTTCATCTAGAGACCATCATAAAACAAACAGAAACTACCATGATCTGAGGCTTACCTCGTCTCACTCTCTTCTCTCACCTGTAACCTCCACCCCTCCCTTTCTGCTGGTTCTTTCCCATTAGCCTAGAAATGTGCACATGTCTCTGTCATCTTAAAAAAATAAAATAACAGAAACAAGAAAGTCCTCTTTGAATTCTGCCAATTTAATTCACACTTGACTCACTGAAAGAATAGTGCATTTCTCCATCTTCACTTTTATTACTTCCCTTTCATTCAGACCCCATTGTCATCTGGCTTCTTCCCAGATTAGAAATATTGTTGGGATGCCTGGGTGGCTCAGTCAGTTAAGTGTCCAACTCTTGATCTTGGCTCAAGTCATAATCTCAAGGTTCGTAAGATCCAGCTCAGCATTGGGCTCTGCAATGAGAGCAAAGAGCCTGCTTGGGATTCTCTCTCTTTCTTTCTGCGCCTCCCCTACTCATGAAAACTCACACACTATCTCTCAAAATTAATAAATAAAACCAAACAAACAAAAAAATAAATCTTGTTAACAACTGTAATAACAACAAGGTGTCTATTTTTCAGCCCCTACCTTGTTTGACAACTCCAGGGACCCAACACTATTGATGACTCCTCTTTGTGAGGTTCTTTACACAGTGGGTGTCTAGGACTCCAGTTTTTCTTCTAATTCTCAGTTCTACTCTTCCATGGGCTCCTCATCATCAATCCTCCTACTAAACAGTGGTGAGCCCCAGACCTGCATCATGAGGCCCCTTCTCTTCACATTCTGCCTGGGCAATTGCATCGTTGCTCACAGCTTCTCCTTAAGTTGAGAATTCCAACATCTGCATCTGCTGTGCAAACCCTCTCCTCAGCTCCTGAGCTCCAAATCTATACATCCCACAGCTCATATGGATGTTAAATAGACACCGCAACTCAATGTAACCAGAGAGGCTTTATTTTGAAAGAAGAAAAGTTTTTCCTACTATATTCTTTATCCTCTCAGTTCTTCAACCAGTAACCAAAGAACCAGCTTTGCCGCTTCTCTTTCCCCTTTGTGTGACCTCAATATCACTAAGACTTGTTAGTTTTCCTTATCCCCTTCTCACCATTCTCAGTGTCTTACCTATCCCGTTGTCTTCCTTCTCAATGACACTATTGTAGTTTACACTCATTATCCCCTGCCTATAACACTGTCTCCTAAACAGTCTCCCTGTTGTTATATTTGCTGCTCTCCAGTCATTCAATTC